ATCAGTCGATGTCACTTTATAATACAATATAAAGTACTAATACTCACTAGACCATCTGAAGTATTTCTCATCGACTGATCGGTTCATACTATTTTATCAGTGATGATTTCACCTGAGCCGCTAGATATCAACAAGTCAGATAAGAAGTTTGAGAGAGATTTTATTCCAGGCATAATTAAGAAGCAGATCAAATTTAAAACGAGCAGAAAGAGTATACAGATTCATTTCACATATGATAGCTTAATAACCCTTCAGAGTTCAACGAAATATTGAAGGTATACAGAATCGGCCTATTACACTATATCCAGATATCAAATAAAGTAGAATTGGTCACTTTTAAATAATCTTAATTCAACCCATCAAGTAAATTACCTGGAGAACATTAGTACTTGGTGTTCATATTTTAATTAATATCACTTTTTACCAGTAATGTAAAATCAATAATGAACAAAGATGGATAGTGACTAGCAGTGGAATCCAGTTTCACGCGCGTTTCTTCCTATTTGGGACTCGTCAGCTAGATGTATCTGAATCTCAGAGTTCATGTTCACTCTAGGACTCGAACCCAATGCCATTCGCTTAAAACACCATCGCGTTATCCACTGAGCTACTGAGTCTTGATACTGGGTTCGAGTCCCAGAGTGAACATCAACTCTGAGATGCAGGTACATCTAGATGACCAGTCCCAAATAGGACGAAACGCACGTCCTGGATTCCACTGTTAGCCACTATCCATCTTTGCTCATAATGCTTGTGAATTAAGGTTATATCGAGGCAATACGCACAGTATCCCCATATGCCGATAAGAGACTGATCAACTGCAGTCCTAAACATCAATGGGAAGATTCAACCAAACAATACTAAGTGAACATAATCAGTAATGTATTTCGATACCATGTGATAAATAGGTCAGACACACTTGTTTGTCATATTTTTATTTGCGAATACTTCCCATTCATGAATTTGAGTATTAAATTTGTCTTTTTATTTTGTAGCAATCTCCTATCAATGAAATCGGGGAACATTTCCAAAAAACATTATGTCACCATCGGACAAAAAGTGAAGTAATAACGATATCCCGTCGTAATTCAATAGATGAATCTTCACTAACAAAATATAAAGAAATATGTAAAATGAACCATATAAACACTATTGGAATAACAACTCATAACATAAATAGTAATGATCAATTGAATAATACATCTACAACATTTCACAAAGTCACATCATTGTAATTGAATTGTGTTAGGGATATTTTTTTAGTGAAAGGAAAAAACGAGTACATAAATGATAAGTGGTAATGAAAACAATAATAACACTAAGAAGAGAGTTGGACATGCTACATTAAAAATGACCTTGGGAGACTATAGTTAGAAATTTTCTACAATAGAATAACCAGGATGTCTTTTTTTATACATATACTTTCATGTATTGCTCTCCTATCATGCAAAATTTGTATAGACTCTAGAAATTAAACTAAACTTATTCAGTGTTTTAAAGTGATGACTGTAGTGGTGCCTGGCAGTGTATGATTAGTTAGGTAGTTGTGTTTATATAAGTGGTTAGATTTAAAATGTTAACTTATTTCTCAAATCAACTATTCTTCGTATACATATGATTATGTTATAAATATATGAACCGATTGATTATTCAAAATTGATCATTTGTTCTCTGATTTTTAAGCTACTACTTTCAAACATTAATTTTTAGATACTATATTTGCATGGTTTTTTCCATTTCACTTTTTTATTGAATTAATTGTACATTTTACCGAATACCTTAACTTTGATATTGTCATATATGAGCACATTTTTACTTATAAACTACATAAGTAGTTTCAAATCGATGTTTAAATGAACAGATTTATAACAATAATAATATCAATAGAAACTTCACTTGTTAGTCACTGTGTAATCACTTTCAAATAAAGTCAGAACGAATATGGATGCAGAATAATATGAATTCATTATATTCCGTGGTTCATATTTTCAAGTCACTCAATAATTTGGTGACAATCCGTTGCAGGATATCTTAACACGGAATATAATGAATTCATATTATTCTGCACCCATGTTAGTTCTGGCTTTCTTTAAATTCATAAAGAGAACTAACTGCATGAAATTTTTGAAAAATCACTTTCAATACTCTTTTCTTCACGTTATTTATTCTAGATGGAATATTAAGATGATCGAAGGACCTACGAAATCATGGAACGAATAAAATATCCTTTAGAATAGGTACATTTTGGACAGCTATGAAATTCAAGACATGCGTTTCGCACTATTTAAGACTTGTCAGCTGGATCTACCAGTCCTTAACATCAACAACAGGATAAATCTAAGCCATGCCAACAGTGATATACGGTATCTTTTGTTAGAGATTTTAGGCTTGTTCAGAGATTATCATGATCGTCTTACCTGAGTGAACACAGAGAAGGCAATGCAAGCTTGAGTCGGATAGGAGAACAATAAGTGAGACAAAATAATATGAATTCATCATTTTTTTAGTTGTCATCAGCTACTTACAAAGTTAGTTAAAATTAATGAAACATATGACTTGAACTAGATACCTACAGAATTATCGGTCTAATGATGCAATAATTAAGTTTATTTCTATAATTTCTGATGGATAGTGAGCTGATTGTTGGAAAATATATATTTTCTATCCGAATAACTGGATTCGTTGTTGATAGTATTGAGTTCCCTGAACTAGGTTTTCGTCAACTCCATACAATCTATAATATTTGAAAGTCAAAATTGTTAAGTGAGTTGGAAATTATTGTAGTAAATATCTGATTAAGGTTAAGAGATAGAACAAAATATCACGATGTCACATGGAGGACACTCGGAAACACTAGAAATAAAATAATAGACTAAAGGGACTAGAAATAAGCGATTATGTAGTAAACAAATTCTCAAAAGAACAATAAAATGAATGAAGATGAATCAGTTCGAAGTAAACTTATCGAAAAAGAGAACCAGGAAGTGATGAGAGGAAGTGATCAAATAAGGGGACGTTTAAAATCTGATCTGACCACATAAGTTGTGTTACCAGGGTTACCTTAACGTTTTCTTTTTGAACACGAGTCAGAATGTTAGTGCTTGATAGCAGAAGCTTTAGGAGATTTTAGAAGACTATAGTTTGGTTGTCTACTAACCAACTTAAAATATCACACAAAGTACACCTGATATTTCGTGCCCGAGAAACGCCTAGAAATTACTGCACTACTAAGCATCTTTATTCTTCTTGAACGAAGACTTTTCAGGATATGTTCTGAAGACTCTTTGCTAAAGAAAATAATGCTTAGTAGAGCGATTTCCAGGAGTCTCAGATACAGTACATCAAGTGGAACTGTAGTGCGAATACAAACATAATTATTGCTAACACGAAAGAGGTATCTGTCAGCCCTTAATTGGGTTATTGAACATATTTTACACGAGATTATTATTTTAGCTTCAGGGTAGATTTTATCGCATCCAATGTTAAGTCTTCTAACTTTCTTCGCAACATTATCACTGATCAAAATTCAGATGGATAAAGACGGCCTCTTCTAATGACTACAGCTTCTTTCGGATTGTCCTTAATTTTTCTATGTCTAATATTAAGCCTTAGATCCAGGATTTTCAAAATAGAGTATGCGAGAAATTTCGCAAAACTGTCGACGACATTTTTGAAAAAACAATTAGATGGTTTTTGAGTATAAATTTAAAAAATTTTATAACCTTTTGAGTTTAAAACTAAACGGAATGGAAAAGGAAGCTACATATGGATTCGAATTTCATATCTTATAAGAGACTGTTGACAAAATTGAAGCTAGGGCTCAATAAGTAAATTTTGACAGGTTGGAAGATTAAGATTCGGTAAATGAAAACAATAAGGGTTGGTTTAGATATAAATTGGTCGATATTTGTAACTACTACCTTACCTTACCCACTTCAGACTTGAGAATTCTGTCTAATGAACACGAAATTTGATTGACACACAAAACAAAGGCACGATAATGATGTTGCAGTCAAATAAATATTACAAAACTTAAGTCCATTGTAAGTGAATAACATAGACAAATATAGAAGACTTGACTGACCCAACAGAGGAACGAATCACTGGCAACTCCACGTTGTTCAAGGCCTCAACGGTTTTATTTGCCATACATGTGTGGTCCATCAAAGATACACATATTGAACGTCCCAATCAGACCTATATAATCAATGATTAATTCAGCGTAACAGAAAATAGCCCACTGTCTAGCAGAGATATGAGAACTGTTTCGTCAATAGCTAATTTTCTACACATTGAAGAACGCTATTTGGCCTGCTGAGAGATTGGATAACATTAGTACCTTTAGTAAATTAATTACCGTTTTAGTTATAATACTCTTTTTTACCATGATACCTCCTTTTGAAACCATAGACGTTAGATATGATAATTCTGAACTTTTGTATTTATCAGTAACTGAGTTCAAATAATTGCTGCTTATATCCATGTAAAATGATTACCTTCACCGACACTTGCTGTATAAAATCTTAATAACATATATTTATTTATTTAAACACATAAATATTAGTACAAGGAAGCACCAGATACACATGTGCTACACAAATCTCATTTGATTTGTGTGAGGGCTGTGATACTGCCCGGGCTATAAATTAATTCTTATATGATCTTGCTGAAAACTGACAAACCTTAGGTACAGATGTTCTGAACAATAACATATATAGAGTTAAATATACGGGAAATATTTCTAACTCTATTTTTAACGGCAACAGTAGGAAGTTGTTTTAGTGAACGAAGATAAATTAAATTAACTACACAAATCTCTCAGATACCAAGTAATTAAATTTAGGGAGTAAAATAAAATAAATCTATTCATAAATATATACCAACTACCAAAGGTAAATAATATTGTAGAAAATGGGTTTGTAATTTATATTTGACTGAAAATGAACAGTGTATACAATAAAATAGTAATCCACTATACATATGTGAACATATAAACATACGAAATGTTAGTCTTTGTATGCATTCATTTTTTCTTTAATATTTCGTACTATCTCCTGTACTGATTTATTTTGTCCATAATAGTCGGAGAATTGTCCTTTCGGATCCAGTAAGTACATTATAATAGTGTGGTCAACCTATAGATATTAAATGTGAACAAATCATAAACATAATTTAAAGTAATATCTCAGAACTGTAACGAAAACATTAAGAGCTTGAAAGCCAGCTCCACAAATTTTTATCGATCGTTTTTTTTAAGTTGGATTAGTTACGACAGATCGATGATAGTAAGTTTGACAAAAAAAAAATACTTGTTCAGTCTAACAAAGAATAATTCTTAGTGTTTGTGTTGACCAATAAGTGCACATGAGTTGTTCTCATATCGTTAATTGATTCAGATAAGAAAATAAAGCATTCAAACGGACACATAGTAGAATCCACCTTTTCCATTTAAATGGTAAATTGTTTGTAGGTGCAAAACTCCTGGCGATTCAAAACAATATTATTAATCAACAGGCCTGCTTAAGAATAGTCAACATAGATAAGTTTTGAACGGACATGAACTAATTAGAACACGTACCACCGAAGAAGTGAATGAACTCAACGAAATGTAACAGAATTTTCATCATTTCTTCTATATGCATCATGGCATGAGATACATGCTATTCACATATACAAGCGTCGAGAAAACCAATCGAAGATGTAGTTTAGTGGTTGAAAAACTCTACTCCCAACCAATAGGTCATAACAGTAACTCAACAATGAGAACACAAAACTGAATATGGCTATGAACTTGAAATAAATAAACGGACGTAATGAAATTGATCTTTTTACACAGTGACATTAAAATATCACAGATAAACTTATGTTTTGAAGTATACTTGTCCGGAAACGGATATCGAGTGTACCTCTTAAGAAAAACAGCTCTATGATACCTATGAACCATAAACGATTTTCCCTGTGAGAATTAAAAAAAACAAATCAACGACAAATAGAAAAAAGATGACGATTAGAAATTGGACTTTATGGTATATAGTATGAAAACTAGTCGACTCCTGACAAATGTTACTGCATGTGGCTGTCTGACTGACTGATATATGCTACCATCAAAATATTAAGCGAAGAAATTAATTACTAAGCATAAAATCTAGTTGAATCAGGTGTTTGCGAAGTTCAACTTTACAGACGAATCAACATTCTTTTTTTTACTATTTTAATTATTTATTTATTTATTTGAACATATAAATATTGGTACGAGGGGACACGAAATATATATGCGCCACGCAATAAAAATGAGACTGAAGAGATGGGGAATGGAAGGTGAGTATAATTAAAAAAGAAAAGCAACAATGAACAGAAATTAGTGTATGAGTGTTTAGTCGCCCTGAATCTAACTCCAGCAATATCTTTGTTGTTATGTTATATCTAGAAATATGTTATATCTAGAGCTTTAGATTCTTTCTATACCGCGTACTACTAGACTACTTGAACGATTGAACCCGCAATAGAGAAGCTACACGTAGTGATTCTGGAATATTCCTCCAAAAGCTGACTGGATGGAATATGTTCGGCTCCTTCTGAGCTTCTTAGAGATTTCTCACGTTCACCTGTGGACTGTCCTCACGCATACCCTTCTTCAATAGACAATCCCAGAGAACAGTCCTTTCCGGCCAATCGAAGGCATTGCTAATGTCAAGAAACACTATGATTGTTGGCCTGTAATAAGTATGACATTGGTTTACAATTTAGTGGAGGGTGAAGATATGATCAATACATACTCGAGAGGAAAGAAAACCACCCTGCTCCTCGCGAGTCAATCTTTCTCAGATTTGGAAGATCTATGAAGTATGACATAAGCCATTAGTTTGGACGCAATCGGAAGTAAACTTATCCCCCGATAGTTGTTTTATAGATGATGTGAACCCTTTCTAAAGTCACTGACAAGTGGACTGAGTCATGTTGGTAGGTATAGACTACCTGGTTGGGATCCGCGAAATGATAACAACCGATGGTTAGAGACCTTGAATGACATGGCTCAAAATCGTTTGCAATGACGAAGGTGCATCCACTCTTTGTGTTCTTCCAAACTCTAATCTTCTGAATTCCTTATACCCCTTTCTTTTTTCTCTTTTCAAATTTATTTCACTGGGTTATACTCCTTCAATAACATCTTCAAACCTTAATCTTTCCTAATGCTGCTTATACTCTTACTACTACCATTATGGATTTGAATCGAAAACTGCATCTCTGTGCTAATGTGGTATGGCAACTCGAACTGATGTACGTACGTACAAAGTTCTACGTTTTGACTAAGTCAGTTCGCTAACCAGGTCTCCACCACTTTTAAAGAGGGTGGGATTAAGTCAGTCAAGCCTGGTGATTTGTGGCGCTTCAAGAGTTGGAATTCTTTGAGGACTTCCGCCTCGTTAGGTGGATCAGTCGTTACCTGCCACGAAGGGCAGGACAGTCTGGTCGACGTCACCGAGGCACCAGACCAGTTTAACTGCCCTCGAAAAACGCTACCAAGATATCAGCAAATGTTATTGATTGATATCCTGTCGGCTTCACAGATTGTTCCACCCGCAATAGACTTCTTACTGTCGGCGATTTGGATGATTTGAAAGCTAGTGAACACTCAAAATCCAACATCCTAAATCCAATCTCCACAATTTCATAAAACCAAAACCATTTATCAATACTTTAAACACTAATTTATTATACGTGTTAGTCGTAACATAGATTCAATGTACTGAATGACCATTAAACACCGAAAGAACTTACAATATAATCGCCATCAGCATCTTTTGGACCTGGACTGTAATAAATACGATAGAGCTTAGAAACTTTATCAATTTCCTCTTTAGTACCAGTCAGCCCAGTCAAACGTGGTGAAAAGTCTACAGCCAAAAATGAGAAAGAAACCATCATTTTATCACAAAATAAGATCTTACCACACATAACAAAAGTCCTAATTAATCTAGCTGACCTAGTTACAGAACTCACTATAGTTAATTATACGGTTATTGTTATTATCCTTTGTACACAATATGTTGACACTGCATATAAAATTATAGGGATTTAAAATAGGAGTCAGTGAGTTACACTTGGTGAAAGTATTGCATGCAGTAACGTGTACGAATCTAGGCAATATTAAGCACGGGATACCATTGCCAATACTCACCAAATAAGATAATTGCTTTCAGTTTCCCCACGTATAATAACTTGAGTGGAAGTATTGGTTGCAAAAGATTACAATTAACCAAGACTCTCAGCAGAATTAGAATTATTATTATGACAGCAGTGAACAACTCATTTCTACTAGCTTTTTTTGTCATGAGAATTTTGGTACAATAGGACACCAAAGAGAATATGTTATACAGGGTGCACCACGCTAACCGCTTATTACGGATGACGCCTTATAATATACACATTATAATAAAAAAGGTAAAGACAATAATATCCCTCAAGTGCTTGGTTTACAAAATTAGACCTATTCAAAAACATTAGTTAAAGACATGAACAGCTACTTCTTTCAAATAAGATTATGATTTCACTTAACGCACCGGAGATAAATAAATTCGACTGATGGTTTGTCTCTGATTAAGTGTTATTAACTGTGGTACTTCGAACGGTAACTTTTTGAACAAATGAGTTAAGCTTTCAGGTTTTATAGTTATTTTCTACTTATCTCCACACTACTCCCAAATACCCTGGTACGGCCGAGAGTGGGGAAAGTCCGCTCTCTCTCACATGGCCACGCGTATATAGCCCCTATCAGGGAAGTCCTACTCACTACCTTCTCGTGGCATTACTGTTGTTTACGAAATTGAGAGGATGGAAAGCGAATGTCCGGCGCTTTAACCGGGTTGGTGGACACGGAGGGTCCACCTAGGGGGGTTGGAAAACCCTGATTCCAAACCAATGGTGCACATGGGCTCCAGGATCCTGAGGGAACAAATAGCGTATGAATTAATCGTTGGTCACTGGCTACCATGAAACTGTATCTCCTCACGATGCTCCACTGCTTTGTGGATCAGATCTTTAAGTCAAAGGTTCGGGGTGTAGTCCCGTAAGAAAACCACCTGCTTCGGCTTGGGCACCCGGGCAGTATCACAGCCCTCACACAAATCAAATAAGATTTGTGTGGCGAATATGTATCTGGTGCCCCTTTGTACCAATATTTGTGTTTAAGTAATAATAATAATAAATATCTCCACTCTATAAACTTTTTTCCCGCTACAGTGAATAAATGGATTTAAATAGTCACGAATGTCTTTTAAGTAGGGAACATGGTGTTTCGAATTCCATCTTTTTGTTCACGACTGGGATTTGACCGACATTTAATTATATTTATCAGTACAATATGAAATACTAGACTTTGGATAGTTAAAATTAATCTGTATTAGGACTCATACTCGAGTATTATAACTATATAGCAACTATCCTACACCCAATTTCGATTATGGTTAATTTTGGTTAACCCCTTTTACTAACTTACTTAACAGACATTGTCATTTGGATAGTAACAATTCGCATATATCTTTGTATTGTTATGATCACTAGCGCACATGACAGACTTTAGCCAAGACGATTGCTTAAGTATCATTCGATGACTCGTCCTCCTCCCCATATATTTATGCACTCAAATCTTATTATTAGCTTTCACTTTGTCTTACTGTGCCCTTATACAATTTGCCTATATAGTTGCTCGGGCTTGCTCGCTCATACTTTCTCATACTTCGCTCGCTGTACTTGTAGCTTTGTGGCCTGTGTCATTTGATAATAAACTGTAGTTGCAGCTTCTCTTTGCCTTCTGATTCTATGCACCGTTGAGATTTGTATTATAACGGTTATCGAGGTGAAGGATTAGCGAAGCATTACAGTACAACTATTTACATTCATCAGTAAGATTTATATGCAATCTTGGGCTTCATAAGCGATCAAGGATTTTACCATACACTACTGCAACAAAAAGGTTACCACTGAACGGTTCAAGACATTACAACGAAAATAAATATCTTGTAGAAGGACACAAAAGTCCTGTAAAATTAACAATCTTTGATTATTGTTACGAAATAATTGTCTCTAATTGCTAGACAGTACATTAAAATACAATAAATCTAAAATGAAAACTTTTTTATTACCTTTAACGTACTTGGCTAAAACATCTGGGGTATCACGTTCGCTGTCGACAGACACAAATACAGGCACTAAGGGGTACTTGGGCTTTTCAATAAGCACTGTAAGAAAAAGCATATTTGTAATGTTTAAAGCACTGGTATTATTAAAATATTGGATGAGTCGATGGTTTATAAAATCGATAAACTAGGTTTCACAATGAGTACAGCAACCACTATCTTAATTCAAGTTTTTACAGAAACGAAAGTCTTAATGAGAACTAAAGAGGGGTGTTCATCTAGATCATTTTAGTTTTTCATATTTCTTTAACTGATGTTTAAAAATTTAAGTGTAAAGATACTAAATGGTTTGATTTGGTATTTTTCATGTATACGGGACAAGATAATTAGATTAACCCATTGTGTTAATAAATAAAAATAGAATTCAGTGAAATTTTCTTTTCTTCATATCCGTTTAGTTGACAATCGTCTCCGATATTTTTGACCTGGAAATTATTTTTATCCTGAGATGAAGATTTGTGGCTTAGCTGGATAATTTAGGTGGGGTATGTTTTCAGTACTCTATCTAAGATCTCAACATCGCTTATATCAATGCATGTAGACAACTACGGACACACATCCGAGAAGTTTTAGAAGCTTGACGCTCAGGTTGATTAGCAATCAGCAAACACATTGAAATAAATCCAATCTATTAACCAATAAGGAAAATCACGGACAAATATAGGACCAAGAATCAAATCAAAGGGAGATACAATCAAAATAAAGAGGTAGTCAGTGACAAGTTAAAGGTCGACAGTAACCAATCAAGACCGAGATCGATAGGATAAGTTGTGAATCATATGTAGAGAAGTTCAAACAATTCACGTGTACCTGAAGTTTATGTTGATTATGTTGTTCAGAGGAACAATGAAAGCTTCACGTCCAAACCATCCAGCTCAGAGAACAAAGCTCCACCTATTTTCATCCTCCTATTCTTCTCGACCCCCTTGGTCATTACGCAACATTCGTTTAATGTTTGAAATCTAGGATCACTTTATAATGCAATCTCTTCTATGCTTAACTATAAATACGAATATACAACTTAAGTAAATGATTTTGTTGAACAGAATGAGATACTTAACTGAAAACAATTGCGTTTAATTTCTACAAAACAGGAATGCTTTGTGAAGATTATAGCTTACAGATGATTAATCGACTTGAACAACACACTACACAAGAATGAGGATAATTCGGTGGAAAATAAGTGACTAAGGAATGCGTCTAACTGCATTGCCAATCAAGAAAAACAACTTTAAATATACTTCATTTTATTGATCAAACACAAAATTCATACATAATGAGTCAAAAGTGACGTGTTTGAAAACAAGCAGTCACACGGGCAACGGATTTATTTACATTTAAAAAGTGATTTTTACCAGTGATCCACCAAAATTATTTATTCGCTTATGTACTACTTAAAGATTTTGCTACAACAACGGATCAAAGAATAGGTTATACAAAGTGGAATAAAACTATAAATAGAATAGAGATAGGTAACAACCAATCAATCAGTCAACAAAAATTGTATTTGATAGTTATAATTTCTCTTATTACGACCTGGATACCCTTATTGCCTCGTATTCTTGAAAAACACTTCACTCGAAAAGTCCCCGAACCAGAACACGGCTGAACAGGAACGAAATTACATTCCAAATAACAAGAGTAGATGGAAGTAGGAATCCCAATAAGAAGATTCCAAAGTCTTCTTCAAGTATCCACTAGCACTAACTAGATAACTGGTAGGTCCTGGGTTCGAATCTCGCGAATGCGGGATGGTGGGTGCGCATTGACTCTTTTAAAAAGTTGGGTCAGGCTATATACTTTTCCCAATCCTGAAATACTTTGCACCTTGAATGTCAAAAGTACATGCTACACTTACCAGAAATAATTGCCAGTTGGTTGAATGCATTCTAGATAGACTATCATCCTAGAGCAAGATAATTTCACTGGTATTACTCCTATATAAGTACCTTAAAAGTGATCTTATTCGTTCTTTATGAACATAAGAAATAAATATCATCACTTTATCACAACAATACAAAAATAACATTTCAAGCAAATGAACATTTTGGAGTAGACCTGAAATCCCGAAATAGTTATTGGTTGAAGTATGAAAAAATTGAAAAAAGCATAAGAAATACCTATTGACTTAATGTGACGCCAAAATAAACCATAACATTCATGAAATCAGCTGTTAAGACTATAGAAAAACACTAAACAAGATCGTAAAATTATATACTATGCAACAAAGACAGTTATATACAATAAAATCACTGAAACTTATTTCCTAAACTTACTTATTCTGTCAGACACTTCCACAAGTCTCTCTATTTGTTCTGGGCATATATCTGGACATCGGCAGAACCCAAAGTACAACAGAACCCATTTCCCGCGGAAATCAGATAATTTACATGGGTTCCCATTATGGTCAATTAAATTGAAATCCCCACCAATAGATGGCAGACCATATTTTCCCTCTGATAATTCTCCTGCTAAAATGTTAGAAACAATAAATTGGACGTTTGTAACAGTTAACTGAGATTTCTAACCGCCACCAACAATGGAAAAATATTCAGAAAAGTCAACTTGTAAATTTCAAAAAATTGGCAGATGGAGTCCCATAAACAGCGTTATTTACAAATCGACTTCAGACTCAGGTTAAAAATAATCTGACCATGATGCTGAGATACATTTATAAAGAACAAAAATATCTGATTATCTGTGTGGAAACTAAATTAGTTCGAGAAATATGTACTGAACGGAAAGATGAGTAGAGAGCAATTCATTAGCAGCAAAAGCTGCAACTAGCAGCTAATGAACTACTGAGATATTCACAACAATTCAATGGTGTTATAACCTCAACGAAGTTGTGGAAATGAATAAGGAAACATTGGTAGTGCTTTTAAAGCACGACCACTGAAGACCGACAAAGATGGTTAAATAGTATTGCTGAGGTGCCTGTTTCTGATAATCTATGTAAGAGGCTGTTAGATTTAACCAAGAGTGAGACACATGAGTTGTTGGTACATAACTTAATGATCACGTAAGGGTCTCATTATGCATCCAACTTGATTAACCCGGACCACGTCAAGCTTTATATTCACCTGCGCGGTGAATTCAAAAGTTGGTAGTCCGAATTTAAGCATCACCTGCAAGGTGCTGAAACAAATGATTTTGTTTAGTAATAATAACTTTGTTAACTCCATACATTGAGCTACTCACCTTTTCAAGACTTTCCACCTTATGGTTTCATCCTAAACAAACGTCGTTTATAAAAAACCGTATCAACCACCCAAAGTATATTTACTACTTATTATTGATTTGAACATAAATATTGGTACAAAGCGGCATAAAAATATATATGGGCGACAAACACCTGTGAATTTTGTGGCCTGGAATACTGTCTGGATACCCAAACTGATGCAGGTAGTTTTCTTAGGGGGCCGAACCACGAACCTTTGTTGACCTAAAGGTCTAATCCACAAGGTAGTAGAGCAACGCTAGGTGCAGTCCCATAGTAGTCAGCGACCAAGGATGAGTACAGACACCATTTGCTTCCACGGGATCCTGGAGCCAATGGGCACCACTGGTTTGGAACCAGGGTTTTTTGACTCTCCTAGGTGAGTCTTCCGTACTCACCGACGCAGTTGAAGGGTCGGACATCCACACCTTAAGTCACTCACTCGCAATGGTAACGTTGTGTGACTGCTAACATGACGATATTGAGAATGACACATAAACCAAGATAAACAAAGTCACATATGCTCACTCTACACTCGATAAAATTACATAGCAGTGGATGGAATGGATCAATTACAAAAGGAAAATTTTAATTAGTATACTTAGATCCACAAAATTAGTAACTAACCTTTCATAAAGTCTCTTGTCAGAGAGACTGCGGCTACGGTGGCTGACCCTGCAATGACGACATAAGAGCACCATTGTATATAACGCATCCGCTGGAAAGTATAGTGATAGAATGAAGAGGCCTACCTCTTCTGGACTAAGAGTTGACCTGAACCTGACAGGAATGAGACTTCGAGACAACACTTTACTGAACTCTTTGATCATTCCAATTAATTAGGTTACCTCGGCATCTTCAAGAACTTATAAGAACTTATATAAGAAAAAACACGCATATTTGTGTAGCACGTTGTATTTCGACGTTTACTTGGGAGCAGGAGCGACCTGAAACAGCAACACAACAGTCAGGACCGACAAGTGCGCCTGAAGTAAGAACACGGTGTGCTGGTACAGCCGATATATTTAAAATTAAATTACGCGGTTTTTAGTGCAAAAGGGGAAAGTTATTACAAAATAGTTTTACTCGTTATTCTGCAGGTTCAGACGGCGTAGGGCTTGTTCTTCTTCTTCCAGTGCATTCACTCTTTGTTGTCCTGCAATGAGAAATACAAACACACATTATTAATGTTGCATGTAATGATTTTTATTACTGTTACATTTGATCGATTAGTATCTCGCGCACAGTGATCACCTTCAGTGGTACGATATTCAATAAGCTTGTATCGAAGTAGTGTAAACTAGCCAATTTCCTCCGTTTGCGTATTGACATGAAAAAGGACTTTCGGGTCTTTTAGATTGGTTTATGATCATGAGCTCCCAATATCTGGGGCTAAACCGATCAATTTTCGGTCAAGTTTGGGACAGTCCTATAGAAAATTTGGTGTGAACTTTGGGAAAGTTAGGAAAAACTAGAAATCCCTCTAAGCCGAGGAATTTTCTGAAACCTCGCCTAAAGTCCACGCAAATTGTTCACGCTCACTGAGAAGATGTCATGAACCGCCAAATATATTCTGAAATTTTTGTTGGTTTTGGATTTTTCTGCATTTTCCTATGTCCAGAACTATTGCGGAAGATCCCTACTGACTTCATGGGCGCTCTCAATTTCGTATTTTAAATCAAAATATGAAGATGAAAGCACGGAGTTTTACCCGGAATGTTTAATGATCGAAAGAGAAAGCACTCTTTTATGACACCCGTCAGAATAACAGCTGGATTGTTTTCCAGTTGCTACAGTGAAACTGGCTTACACTTGTAACGCCTTAATCGTTTATTACTATCTCTTAAACTTTATCTTAGGGAATGAACTGATGCCACCGGGTCAGTATACGCAATACACGTAGACTCTCTTTTAAACACTATCCATATCCTACATCCTCATTGCAACTCACTATCAAAGGACAACTTGCCTCATATTCTTACCTTCTATTCAATTACTAATTCTCATTTTCATGTACATTGCTCCTGCAACAAATCATGTGTGATAATTTGTGCAAATAAAGTAAATGTTACCGAGATATTTGTGGTGTTTGAATGAACCAATGATTCCCTTGTTTGATGACTTTTGATTTTGAATCCCAGTTACAGTACATTTGTTTGTGCTCATCAAATACTTCTTCCTTAAATTGCTTTATTGGTAAGATTACTAGTTTATACTAAGTTAAATACTCTTAAACATCACAATATGATAACAAGCTAGCAAAATAAGTACATGGAATCTACAGATTATCTCCGAATACTGATTGAGTGTTGGTCGCCATCGAATAAACAAGAAAAATGTAACACACTGGATGAGTTAGTAATACTGCACCGCAGAGAGCAATCCAAACTAACATGTTTGCTTTGATAAATTGATCGAGCTATCATTACTATGGATGTTGATTCTAAGAGGAATCTGATATTAAAAAATCAGTTTTTTATTTAACAGTTGGCCGAAAACATCTTTGTAATATTAAAATATTACGGATCCAGTGTTTATTTGCTCCGTTACTTTGCATAGGCATCATATTTCCTATTATTCTATATTGAATTTCGTTAACGTTGTGTGTTGGAAAAAGAGAACCTCGCGCTCCAACTTTTCGGTTGTAAAAGTAAATCTTCTGATTGTTTTTAACATAAATATCATCTGTATCTTTTCATCGCAACGTATTCGTGTTGAAATCATTCACTAACGCCGTTCGTATTATATTAATATATTGGTCGTATACCACATGTCAAACTCAATTCAAAGTAAAAATTTTGAAGATAGGTGTGATTTGTTAACATTGGAGACAGACGCTGTTATGGATGAGAATGCCCAACTTCGTGAATTGCATCGTAGTAGCCCCGAGCTGTAGTTTGCTCGACTAAAGCATTATTTTACCAGAAAATATTAAATTTGGGGGAGTTCTATATTGATATTTATGCTTTGTCCTTTCTCCTTCGGTTACCAGGGTAGTTCACGGCCTGGTTTTGAACCTCTCAATGCTAAAACCATAATAGTCTTAAGAGGAGAGATGAAGGACGGTCTATCTTTGTCAGATGGTCAAAGAATTCATAGGCTTTTCTAAGGAGAAACACTGGCTAATAGGTCACCATAACGGCTCTTGCATTACCTTTAAGTCTTAGTGGGCGGTAACACCGTTTGTGGAGCAGCGCTAAGACAAGGATGGTTGCAAGCTGTACTGTGTTACATATAACATTGTTCGGATACGCAAGACCCAGACACCTCTCCACCTCACTTTGCACGTATCGTAGATGGGATAAAGGAGAGAGAGATCTCAATAGGGTCACATAATACGTACATAATACGCAGAAGAATCATCATCAAAAGACTCAGTCACAGAGCAACTCACTACAAATGTTAAAAGTTCAACGACAACCATCTCCAAAATACAAATGGATTATAGAAACACGAACAGGTCACAAACGTCCACAAAACCTGGACAATTATATTGATATCACTAAGAGTCTGGTACAAAATCAACCAGATGTAGCTAATAATGTGGTCAAAATAGACTCCTAGCAATGCGAGAGACGAATAGCCCGTTCATAGGTCGCAGCGACTAAGGAGGAGTGCCCGAACAGTTGCTTCCTTTATGTAAGAGACAGAAATTCAGGCATGAACATTTTTGAGGATACCGGTGCCAAACTGAGCATCACGCATGAGAACAAAAAACAGCTGGGTCGAACAATGCTTTCACTTGAATTTCAAGCTGACAACAAAACTGAAATCATGACGTTTGGGCAGAAAACATTGATGCTAGACGTGCATGTTAAGAAGCGATTTCTCCGAGTACTGACTGTAGCAGATTTAGACCTCTCAATAATGAGAATGGACTTGTAGTGGTACTGTTTCCTAACTACACGATCTTTGAGGCTAAACATATAATTAACAAAAAAAATTTCACTCAATATGTAGCACTTAGGAAAGATCAGTAGTGGTAAACACGGAAACGATTGATCGGCATGGCATGGTCCAGCCTTACAGGCGTGATCGCTATATAACGTAATACTTTCCATATCAAATGCACTATTCTATCCTCAGTCTAGATGTATTTCTTCAGAAGCCCTAAGCATCATACTGCTGATTTACACGATAACATGAGTCAGTGAAGACAGCTAAGTGATTTGCACGCAGGATATTGAAAATTAAGCAGTCAGATCATGACAACTCTACAATTTGGGGATTCGGTCTATTATTATTGTAGCAAAAGGAAGTGTACTAATATCAAACTAGACCATAATTCAGCAATGTTAGTAAAATCTTTACAAGTTAGATATTCAGAACTGTTTATTGTGGCCGTTTGGAGCCTTCTAAGTTTTAACAGTGGTGTAGAACATATGTAGTTGATACATGAGAACGTTCTTCTAAATTAAAAGAAATTATTTCACAACATTTATTAGGTGCTGAGTTAATGTAAGACACTAGGGAAGAAAAACATATTTTCAAAATTGCAGCGACTGAATTTTAAGTCAATCAAACATTTCGTCTGGCAGTCTGGTTCAAGCCTTTTGAAGTAAATATATTGTCAGACATTAAAATTACCCAATGTAAATAGTTAGTTGTATATCCAATGGGTTATTCAATCATGTTAACAGTATTTTCAAGGTAAGTATTTGCTTTAGTGTGTATGAGACATGTAGTTTGTAACGAGGTGTTAAGATTTTAACAACTCACGTTGATTAGTTAAGAGTTGACCTCAAACAACTAAGTACATATCAAAACAATGGAGCTCAAGTACCCAATAACTTCTTTATTTTGTATAGGCATTATATATCCTAAGGTGTTATATTGAATGTTGAAAATCTTCGAGTGTTTGAACAGGTAACCTCTCACTCCACTGCGACTATCTCACGAGCTAAATAAAGACCAACCACTTACTAGTCTAGGTTATTATATCAATAGAACGTGGATCACCTACCGGTACAAAACTGGTGAGCTTGGTATTGAACATAAATTTCATTTCATTTTTACCAGTGACTATTTTTTTACTTAGTTGTAAAAGTAGACCTGATTACCCTAAACAAGAGTTTGGTATATATATAATTAGGTTGTTTTCATCATGTCGTAGCCATTATTTCACCCTGCTCCTATTGTATTGCTACATTATTCATTTGCCTTATACAGTACTAAATACAGACCGGAAGCTTGGAGGATTTGCCACCAGTGAAGATAAACAAAGTTATGGCGACGAAAATTTGACTCCCACAATTTGATCGTAGTGACTCCGAGTTGTGGTTCGCTCAACTAGAGCATTATTTTACGAAAAACAATATCAAATCTGAAGAATTCGCTATCGAGATTTATGTTCTATCCTCCATTCGGTCAGCAAAAACGTTCGCCACTTGATTTTAAGCCCACCATCATCACAACCATGCACCACCTTAAGACGAGAGATGAGCTGTCTAACATTATCAGACGGCCCAAGGATACAAATTGGATTTGGACTAACAAGACTTTGTTATTGACCATTTGGCATCAAACAATGACAAAATGAAATCACTTATTTCCGCAGATATATGCAGATATTCACAGATATCTAGAATCTCTTCGCCGAGTAGCACTTCTAGAAAATGCACTCCTTATAATCTTTCCAGTCACTGTTTCACCGAAATAGATTCAAATGTTAGGTTCAAACGGAAAACATCAGTCTAAGAAACAAAAACTTATTCAATTAAAACAAACCATTACATCTTCAGTTTAGTTCACGAAGCTTCCTCAAGTTAACCACAGTCAACGGCAACACCCCATTCATATCAAAATAAAACTTACTGCGCGAAAATCTGTGGTATCACTGAGTAATTACAAATGATATTAAAAAACGCAACATAAATCAACAATGTCATTTCTTCACTAGGAAGCCTAAGGTGTCGTTTGTACGAAATAACGCATTACAAAACAAAACATGGTTACTAGATTCAACTTCCATGAATCCGGAAAACAACAGAAATGTTCCCAGCAAAATAGCGTCAAAAATTTGTTTGTCAGAACCACGTTAAGCAGAAGCTGGGAGATTGCCATGGAGCAATAACAAGCAACTACTCTATGGTGTATATTTGAGTTCGACCAAAGAAGACTTTGTTATCAATCGTTTAGCGTCATACAATGACAAAATGAAATCACTCACTGAAGCAAATATTTACAGATATTCACAGATATTTAGAATCTCTTCGCTGAGTGGCACCGGTTCACTTGGAAGGTGCTTAGTGGA